GTGAAATTCATTGATATACCTTAGTATAGTGAACGAGAATGGGACATCATATCAGTTCAATGTTCTCCAGTTTGGGAAGATTCTTCGAGTACCCAGTGAAGCGGAAACCTATTTGTTTCTATAGACAGGAGGACTTTAGTGCAACAGGTAATAAGTAACCAACTGAAATAGTAGATACACAACTAATAAATAATAAAAAAATGTTTATACATTTATTTAGTAAGTATTTTGATTATTTCGAAATCGAAGTACATACTAAAACTTCGCCAGGTATACATAGGTAGTGAAAACAATAGGGTTGGTGCCAGGGAATGAAAAGTAAAAATCTAATTAGTCCGTCAGTTAGATAATGATAAAATATTAGACAAGTATTTTTTATTTTGTCGTATAAATTTATAATACTTAAATGAAATGGAGTAAAGTTTTGGAGTGGGAGGTCGTTACGTCACTAAGTGCTACAAAATGTAGCGTATTGTGATGCCACACGATATTTCAGATTATTATACCGTCGGAAGTATTTATTTTGTAAGAAAAGAAAAATACGTGTCTAATGTTTTAAATTAATCTACAAGACGGCCATTAAAAAAAATGTAGGTAGGCAGTTACTCAATAGGGTAGTTACCCTATTGAGTATTTAATTCATCAAATTCTGAGCCAAATACCCGGCCAGCTACGTTATTAGTTTTATGAACCTTTTTACAAAATAGTCTTTTGGTAGTCTAAAATGAGTGCCTGCGAAAGAAAGCAACGTTCCATGGCATTTAGATACTTCTCAACAGTTATTTTGTCTTACATAGAATCTTGTAACTAGGTGAAGCACATAGGAAGGTGGCAGACATGCAGAGGCAGGCTGCGACAGACTACGACAAATTGGTTGATTTGTTCTATACGAGGTTGGCAGAGCAACGACAGTATAATCAAGTAGGTTACGTTATTTTCATGTAATCTACAAGTACGTATCCGTAGCAAGATATCCTTACTAATATTATAAATCGGAAAGTGAGTTTGTTTGTTTGTTCCGCTTTCACGTCGTAACTTCTAAACCGATTGCTTTGAATTTTTGCAGACGTAAAGTTAGAAGTCTGGATTAAATAATAGGGTACTTTTTATCCCGGAAAAAATTGATATTCTCGAGGGAAAACAAAAGTATTGGTATAGATGGCGCTGTATGCATTGGTATATGTCACATAGGCTATGTACTTTTTATCCTTTTGTGTCGCGTGCGAAGCCGCGGGTAAAAGCTAGTTTTATATAAAAAAAATCATAGATGGACTTCTCCCGCTTGTGTCAGGCGGGAGAGAGTGTCAGACTCTAACTGACTAAAAACCACCCCGTTCCTACTCCTCCCCTTCGAGCCGGAGCCCCGGCAACCGTTAAGTCCTCCGCGGCTCCGACCCGTACCAAGATATAGGTAGTCTAAATTGCTGACATGAACAGCAACAATCCGAATTCTAAGTGCCTAGACAAGTGTCCCTATCAGTAGGTAGAATCAATAGCGACATACAAATTGAGATAAATAAATATGTTTACATAGACTATACATCGCAAAGCATCTACATTTCATTAGGAAGTTGTAATTCGGAGGAGTTTACCTATGACGTGAGAGCAAGTATTACCTATGACATGACGCTGGTCCCCTAGGAAATGAAGGAGAAGGACCGTAGATGGAGTATGCAGAAGGTAGTGGAGCGGTTTCCAGGGTGGAACGAGGTCACCATCGCCAACCTGCATAGCTTGTTCCTGCTCTTCGACAACCAGTCCAATGGCATGCTTGGGTTTGATGACTTGTTAGTTCTCTTTCCATCTATCTAAGTACATTTTGTCTGAAAGCTAAGATTGAGTTACGATCAGCAGGTTCGACGGAATATTAGTATTTTATACATAGGCTTTATATATAACGTATTTGCTAGTTACTAGGTAAGTCGATGTTTAAATAGGTAGTACGTAATCTTGGAAAAGAAATTGCGAGAAAAATCTAGTAAAATATGAGCGTATCTAAGATTATTTTATACGACGACGAACAAGTCAACAATATACATTGCTTAGAAACCTTTATTATTATTATAAAACAAAGTCCTTGCGTCTGTCTGTTTATCATAAACTCAAAAAAATACTGAATAAAATTTAATTTCAAGATAATTTAGTACCGCGGGTGAAGTTTACATTTTACATTGTACATTTAGCGGAGCAGTATTGGAGAGTCTTGGAGATGAGAGCGGCATGGACGTGCGGAAAGAGAAGTTCAATGCCGCAGACACAGACAATGATGGCTGGATCACTTACGATGAGTTTCTATCAGTAAGGGAACTTTATTCATTTAATTAAATTATTTACTATCTTCAATTACGTTATGTTTACTTACAATATCTAGTGTCCGTGTGAAAGGTCTGTACTAGTTTATAAAAATAAACAGAACCAAAATAAATTAGTTTATGGCATTCATATAATTTACATACAATTTGCAGAAATAACATTCGCTACGAAGCTACGCAAGTTTCGACTACGCTGTCGTAGCATTCGTAGACGACGCTACGCAAGTACTACGAATACTACGACGACGGCGTAGTAGCATAGTCTAAACTTGCGCAACTTGTTAGCGTTGAAATCTTATCAATCTTAGTAAACTTGTCTTATACCTAATTTATCTTTATTTTAAAAACAGCTAAGCAACAATAATGGGTCCATTTATTTTTCAAAATCAATTTATGTAAGTAAGTAGAGATATTTTTCGGAACTTAATGTTTTTTTTCGATCATACGGTTTTATTCCTTATGGTGAACTATTGATCACTAAATACTACAGACAGGACGCTTTTAAAGTATTTATTAGTAAATTATTAACAATCATATAATTTTGAGGTCAGTGTAATAGTTTTATCTGGGAACTAGTCAAAACTCATTAGTAATCGTCGTACTTTCTAGAAATATCCTAAAATGGCGTCCCTACAATAGTCAATACAACAAAAATCAATGTATACAGACGCCAACACATAACCTACCCCAATCTAATTTTATACTTTATTGATTTGGAATAAAGTTGAGATTCTATTACCAAAACAAATTGACAAAATGGAGGAGCTTGACGCGCCGGGCGCCATCTTTTAAGTTAACCTTTCTTTTTTCAAATTGGTTTTTGACTATGATGTTGTATTAAATAGCAATTTAGATTTAAATGTTATGTTTTTCTTATTAGTTGGTGTATAATTTCAATCCTGGCGAGGAGGGCCGTGTCACAGGGCTGGCCGCTATGTGCAACGATGTCGCAGAGAACATACAGTTTGTCAGCAATCTCACCGTTGGCGAGCAACTGGAATACGGCTTGTTTTGAATGATTACTTGTTAAATAATTATAGTTAGTTATTAATGCATATTTTGTTTTTTATTGTAGCTAAAGCATTTGTTTTCTATAGGGCATCGATATTCTCTATGAAATTTTCCGTTCCAATACCGTAACAAGATCCATCTCCTAGAACGAAATGCAAGATGTCATTTGTCAATAAAAATGTCCGCGATCTACATAAATCAAACAAATTCGTGAATTTATTAAAATTCTACCGTAAAACGTCTGTCGTGGCATTAGATGATAACTGAGGTAACTATTACGCAAAATGAAGCGTTGGGCGACTTTTGTGGGAATGGTGGGAAGTAATTATAAACAAAAGTGACTTGTTAATAGCCAAATAGAGCCACTAGTTCGTATACTGCGTCGCGATAGATGTGGTTGCCTAGTGCACTATCTGGCAACGCGTGGCGCGCCGCGTCAGCTTGTAGCTCGCACGCTCCAACGCACGATTGTCATTTTGAAGCAACGCATTTTATTTCAAATAAACCCATATAACGCACTTTTGAAACGTCGAAAATAGATTGTTGTGTCCGTCAGTCGGTTAATTGAAGTTAGTTATTTGATTAACTTTACTCTTTTTATTATTATAGTTATTGTTGGTGGTAAGATTCGTAAATTTAGATAATACAGAGAAACTAGAAAGAAATTGTAGTTTTCAAATAACGAATTATGTAGTTCTAAAAACGAATAAAAATTAAAACAAAAAAAATGTAAAGCTGCATTTCTAGAGGTATACTGAAAGATTCATCTATCCATTGAGCAATCAAAAGCGTTGCTAACCGAACAGGACGCGTTACCAAGGGCAAGGCGCGTTGCTACGGGCCCGCGTTTCCTCTGATCCCTTGAACACACCCTTCGCTTTATACCCCAACACAACCGGTCAGCCTCGCGAGGGACACCACGCCCCTACACACAGAGCATAATGCCATTTTATTGGAAGACACTTTTAATAATGCGTTCTATCACTGCACTGCTGTTGCCATTTATAAAATGTACTGCAAATGTCGAGTTACTACGGGCCGGGCTACGGCGTAGGCGATTTCGCGAGCATCGATTCGCTACGGAATTGGCGAATTTAAAAATGACACAGCCGTTAGTTACTGCTGTTGGATTGGATAGTAAAATACTATTGAAAGATAAATCGTATTTAATTCTTAAATAATAGTTACATTTTGGATTATTTATTGGTTTTTTTTTATAAATAGTATTGTAGGTAATTCATTACAAAGTGTTATGTAAATAAGTTTTTACTGATTCGTCAAAAATCACAGACTTTTAACATGATTTTAAAAGGACAATTTACATAGGTATCAAGGTCCGGACATCCGGAGTTAGTGAAGTTAAATCAGTTTATCAGTCTAACCAGTATCTGTACGTTTGTAAGCACATAATCTCCTCAACAACTGCACCAAATTAGGTAGTACGTTTCTATTGTCGTGTTTGTTATTATCATGACAAGGATATTCGTATGAGGGAAAGAGACAGTTTGTAAAAAGAATTCGTTGGGACGGTCGAGGGAAAAAAACTCGTGCGAGGCGTGCGAAGCCGGGGCGGGTCATAGTGATGTAGGTAACATCGTATCGAATGCCAAATGGACGCCAATAATTCTGGAATATTTTTCACTTCATCATGTTATCGATGATCTCTTCAATCTGTGATTAATATCGGAGCAAATCATCATCGCTGAGGGAGTCGACGTCACTCAGCTCGTTGAGGGAGGGGTCGCAGGCGAGGCAGCGCCCTCCCGCCTCCTGCCAGCACTCCGCACAGTACACAAACGGACATGTTGGCAGACTGCAGCAGTGCCATCGTCCTGGGATCCGATGACCTGATCAAAATGAGTAGAGTCAATCAATCATAATATCTAGCCTACCCTAGGGACTTTAAGGTAAAAACAAATTATGTATGTATCAGTGACATCAGGTTTCAGGGAGTTCAACCAACTGAATATATACCTACCTACATATGTATGTAAGTACGTAGTATTATCATGTCATGCGAGGTTCTTTCGTATTCATCATCATCATCATTAACAGCCTATAAATGTCCACTGCTAAGCAAAGCTTCTTCTTACACGAAGAAGGTTTGAGCATTAATCACCACGCTTGCTCATTGCGGGTTGGCGATTTCAAACTTATAATAGGAAATTATAAGTCCAAATTTCCTCACGATGTTTTCCTTCATCGTTTGTCAGTGGTATCTAAATAATCTTAGAAAGTACATATAACTCTGAAAAAGTCACATTGGTACTTGCCGTTGGTAGGTTTCGAAGCCACACTCTCATGCATGAGAAGCAGGCGTATTAAACCTTAGGGCTACCACGACCACTATCGTATTACCTAAGACCTAAGTCATATCGACAGACTAAGTGCACGTCATACAGGGTGTCTCTAAATTCGAAGGTCAAATGGAACCAGGCAATCGAAAATGTTCCAACAGATATCAGAAAATTATAAATAAAATTGTAGGTTTGGTTTTTAAATTAGGTACAAGTACACTCTGAGCTAGTATTTTGACTCTTGTTGCTACATTTCTTAATTTTTTCGTCTGTATTTTGAGCTAACTGCTATATATAATTTGGAAAATAATGTCGTTTTTTGATGAACCAACTATTGTTAATAAATTTTTCACCTTTAAGTGACTGTACTGAAAAACAAATGTATTGGCAAATTTCATCAAAGTTGTATTTACAGCTGAAACTGCATTAAGTCTCAATTATTAAATCTCAATAGATTTAAATAAATCTTACGGTCTATATCCCAATAAAGTTAGACACTGAGTTTAATTAAAATCGAGTCTGTTCGTCAGTAGTTACCGCCCACTAGGGGTCCCGAAACTAAAACTTGGACTACGTAAGTAGTAGTAAACTAATATCGACGAAGTATGTGAAGGACACCCGGTACGGCCGCTTATATGCTTTCCGAAATTCGAAAGTGCATTGAGATATTTTGAACGAGTCACCAAATTACCACCAAGGAAATCGTGCTGCCCTATCTGATTAGTTCCGTACTTTTTCTTTATTATGACTGCCTCATTGGATTCGATTCCCGGGTCGGGCAAAGTATTACTGGGTTTTTCAAAAAATTCACAGTAATAGCACGGAGTCTGGAGTTGTGCCCGGTATATGGCAATAGGCTCACCCCCTATTACTTGGGACTCATAACATAAATAGTGAAAAGTGGGTGTTACATTGTACAGTGGCATAATGTACACCTCTGCCTAACCCTTCGGGGATAAAAGGCGTGATTTTATGTTATGTTTATATTTATAAACGCGAAAGTTTATGATTATGCATGCTTGCAGTTTAATCACGCCAAGAGGTCGGAATGGATCCTAGGTCAGACATCACATAAATAAATTATTGTCTACAAAAACAGATCTGCCGAAACACGCTGTTAAGCTAAGCTACTCTTACATAAGTCGATCTAAAATCATAAAGACAGGAACTGCCTATAGATAACGGTCTCACACTCACCAGTCCTAGGTTCTGTTTCTCCACATATGAGGCAGGTCATCCTGGCAGCAGGTAGAGCATCCAACCAGCCCAACAAGTAGGGGAACTTCATCCGCAAACTGAGGAGGTTCTCTCCAGAGAGGTAGTGTGTACGTACGGCTTGGACTGCTTTTCTATATGAAACGATGAGATGAGAATAGATGATTCTCTAGAAGAATTCGACATGTAGCTAACGAATAATAATACGGTAGTTGACAGGTATTCAAATTCAATACTTTTATTGAAATGTCAAAAACGATGCTTTTCTATGAATTTTGTATTGATTCGCTACTTATGACGTCATCATATTACTGCGTCAAACAGCATACTTATTTCCTTAAAATTAGCGAGAAAAAATATCCGAAAGTAGGTAAGTTGTCAAATCAATGGATGAGAGTATGATTATTATTTAATTATTTTGCATTATAAAGTTGAAACTATTTATTTTATACCTAGGAAACTAGCCAAGTATTGATATTCTATAATGTTTAATACCTGCGCAAAGTTTTATCCATTTTCATTCGTTTCTTAAGAATATCATTGTAGAGATGTAACACTCGCTGCCTCTCACGCAGAGGATAAAAGTAACTGCACACTAGTCTGTAATATTAATGGTGATATTGAGCACTTGAGATGGTACCAAGTGAAGGAAACCATTGAAACAGGTTCTTATAGATTCTTGTAGGTAATTTTAAATAATAGAAGTTTAGGTGTCGTGGCAATTTTTGTTTTATTAATCGTAATTTCTATTCATCAAAGTCCACCTTGGTATCAGATTATTGTAAGTACATTCAAAATTGAACCGTATGATAAAAGTATTAGAACTTTTAATACTTTTATTATTTGTTTTTCGTGTCTATTACAATTATTCGACTAATGAAAAAAATAGCCACGCAACAAGTGATCACTATGGTCTATGATTAAAATAATCCAATAGGGTAGTTTCCTTCATTTTATTTTAATGTCCGTCTGGTACATTAATTTAAAACTTTTTGTGAGAAAAGAAAAAATACGTGTCTAAAACACGTATTTTTGTGTGTGACGTCACAGCGTGCCACATTTTGTAGCACGTTATGACGACTCCTAAACTTAGCGAAATTTTATCTAAGTATTGCACCTTAATCCGACAAAATTAAAAAATACGTGTCTAATATTTTTTTGATTATCTAACTGACGGACTAATAAGATTTTTAATTTTGATACCCTGGGAACTACCCAATTGTCTCTAAGAAAGTAAGAAGTAGAACTCCTATATAATTAATAAGCTCACCTCCTTAGCCTCAATGTATATGGATTAATATATAGCAGAAAAAGTATCCAGACGTATCCACCATAGATCTTTAAGAAGTATATGGGTGGCATGGCGCGCGGTTGTGGTACACACAGCTTGTTCGTCACCACTAGTCTACTGTCCCGAGTTGATGACAGATTGCTGATCAGTTTGCGGAGAAGATTCGCTAGGAGACCTGTACCTTCCACCTGGGAATATTTATGACCGTAATTTGTAGTTGGCAAACAATAAATATTTGAATTTTTAGCTCTACCATCTTCTGTAAGTTCTAGGCTAGCTTTCACAGTTTAAAACTAGGGATTTAAACTGTCAAACACCGCGAGCACACCGGTGACCGCAACCTATTGCTCTTTAATTGTGTCTATAATGACGGTACTCAAAGGGTTAAATGAAAATAATTAATACAAATACCATTAAAGATAACAGACAGTACTGAAACGATTAGATATATTGTATAACTATGATGATGTGTGTAAATGTAGCCTTCATATTCCGAATACATATTTCTTCAATAGATTCTCAACTTTATTACCTACGTAATAGAATCGAAAATGTATTGAATAAAATAAGAATGATACTCTCAAACATTGTACGATTTGTACCTCTATTTTCAAATCCTGTGTCCCTTGATGGATGAACTCGAGGTGTGCATGTTGGCGCACCACGTCCAGAGCTTCGTAGAAAAGGCGGTCCAGCATCACGAACGTGGTGGCTGTCACCACTTCTAACATCACCTTCAAGATCTGCGTCACCAGTTTACTGTGCTGGGTCCTCACATACGACATGGAGTGTACGTCCACATATTTACTTCGCTCCATCTGGAAAGTGTAGTCTGGAATGATGCTATTTTTCCAAGTTGAGAACGAAATTATTAGCAATGTTGCTGTAACAGTAGAAATTGTATCAAACAAATTATTAACGTAAGTATAAATAATATAGTCAACCAGCTGTGCCCGCGACTTCGTCCGCGTAGAATAGTCATTCACAGCTCCTCCCCTGTAGCTGATAGCGTGATAATATGTAGCCCATATGTTGAACCTACCTGTTAGTATATCCATGCAAAATTTGAAGTGAATCCATGCAGTACTTTTTGAGTTTAACCCGGACATACATACAGACAAACAGACAAGAATTCTAAAAACCATATTTCTGGCTTCGATATCTATTGTCATCACGCCTCAAGCATTCTTTTAAAACGATTTTATTATATGTATAGATATAGATGACTAAAAACTACTTTTGAAACTCAAAAATAGAATTGAAATATTATAGAGCAGAACACACAGTTGAAACATTTGTTACATACACAATTTTCAGTCATATCTTCTGTTTCAGGCGAAAAAGGTTACCTACATGTTACAAAAATGTTAGATAACTTATACAACATTATTTATAACTAGCTGTTGTCTGCAACTTCGTCCGCGTAGAATATGAATTTTAGGACATATTTTTTTTTTGTTTCAATTTTCCAAAATAAAAGTAGACTATGTTACTCCTTAGTACATCAGTACCTGCCGATAAAAGTATTGCAAAATCTGTCTAGCCATTCCAGAGATTAGCCAGTACAAACAGACGGACAGACAAAATTAAAAAAAAATATTTTGATATGTGTATCGTATGTACTTATATTCATATGCATGTAGTAAAAAGCGGTTATTTTAAAATTACAAACAGACGCTTCAATTTTATTTATCTGTATAGACTATAATTTTAACCTTACCTTAAAATTCAGCTTTTTTAAGGGGGGTAAATCATCGAATTACTGCTCCCGCCTGGGTGAGGCAGGAGGGAGTGTCGGACTCTTACTGACTAAAAACCACCCCGTTCCTTCTCCTGCACGTCGAGCCGGAGCCCCGGTTACACGTTAGGTTCTCTTAAAATACAGCTTACTAACCTTTTTAAGCGGTAACAGGGTAATTTCATTCTTCCTTTTTCTCAACTCATCCAAGTATTTAAAATAGCCCGTTATGTAGAGGTTATCGAAGGTGATATTAGTGAGGTACATATCATGGTACGTTATGGCGGCTAACACTATCCTTAGGAATAGGATCGCCATACACACGTTCAGTGTGGTGATGACCACGCCCATGACTAAGTGCTTCTCTTCAAAAGAGTGGAGGACACGGTCGCCAGTTTCTTTTGCATCCTGGAGTTAAGATGAGGAATAAGAGGTGCGTCCTAACTAAAAATCGCGGGTTAACTACACACGTAAATATACTGAGAAAAGCTCTATAGTTACCTACACACGTAAATATACTGAGAAAAGCTCTACTAGTTTCGAGCCACAGAGGGGCTCTTCCTCATGAGCAGCGTGCGTTCGATAGTTATTATAAAAAAGAGGTGCTTGTGTTTGGTTAAATTTTACTATCTTAATCAGGTGATTTTGTAAATTAGCTAATCAGGACACAGGTATGTAGCACACAATTGAATGAACTAGGTAACGTGACGATATGGTGTTTCAGGTATTTGAAACGTTTTATGATTACAAAATTGTAATTTAATAAAATTAATAAAAAATGGATTTGATTTAGCTAAGCGGTAGAAAAAGGGATGTATTCAGTGCATACTGGAATATCTGCTAAAATCTAAAGAAAATTCGTTTAACAATAAATCGGTAACTTATGGAAAACAAAAGACCTGGTAGGTATAAGATGTTAATTCGAAACTTTAGAAGTGTCCTCTCGATCGCGGCCCGCCATTTGATTGGTTGTGAGAATAACCTCGACCAATGAGGGGCGATAATGTGATCGAGCACTTCGAGAGTTCGATTTGACCTCTAACAAAAAAGTCTAGCTCATAACGATTTTAAAACACTTTCCCACCTGTATATCATACAGCACGCGTTGAAAGGTAATTTTATATTTCAAGTTGACGTTATTCAATTCACCGGTCAACTCTCGCGTCGCTTTCTTTAGAGCTACGTAACCTTCTCCTAGGCCATGATCCACCTGTAGGGACATACTGCAACATCACGCATGTAATCTTATATCTTATACTATTATCTTATACTATTATTATATAAAGCGGAAGAGTTTGTTTGTTTGTTTGAACGCGCTAATCTCCGTAACTACAAGTCTGATTTGAATAATTCTTTTTGTGTTGGATAGCGCATTTATCGAGGATGGCTATAAGCTATAAAACTTCACGCTACGACCAATAGGAGCTGAGCAGAGCGTGTGAAATGCGTGGAAGTAGCTAGTACACAATATGTCGAAATTGTTCATAGGTACCTCTAGTTCGCAATAGGGTAGGTGACTAATTTTTATTTTAATGTCCGTCTGGTAGTTTATTTAAAATCATAAGCCACGTATTTTTTATTTTCTTGCGGACACAGATACTTTTGACGATAAGGTGACTTTACTTTTGTGTACGTTTTATACTCAAAAGCGACGTAGTTAGCTCAGTTAGCTGTCACTTTTAAACTTTGTTTCGTTTTATTTGAGTATTATTGTGTTATACAACAAAATAAAAAAATCGTGTCAAATATTTTTTCCTTACCTAACTGACGGACTAAATAGGTTTTTAATTTTCATACCTTGTCATCATTTCTATTCTGCAGATATATAAGTTACTAGCTACTTCCCCGTGGTTTCACGCGCTATATTTTGCTCCTGTTGATCGTAGCGAGATGTTTTATAGTCTACCTCTAGAGCCTTCGTCGATAAATGGACTATCCAACACAAAAATAATTATTCAATTCGAATCAGTAGTTTCAAACAAAAAAACAAACTCTTTAGGTTTATAATATTAGTATCTAGATTGAAATCAGCCGATATACTGAGCAAAGTCCTAAATTGGTTTACAAATAGCTAATTTATTTCCTGGATATAGCGCCTAGACTCCTATGTTCAGTAGCTGAGTTGTCGTGCTGTTGACCACCAACGGAGTAAACTTTATTTCGTCTCAAGAAATAAATAAGGGAACCTTTCACTCACCTGTTCCCTGCTATCACAAGTATCGCCCTGTTGGAGTAAGCTTAAGAAATTGCAGGCGTATTTAAATCTCAGAGGCCAACACAACAGCCAGGCATTGACGTGGCGCACTTTATCACAACACGTATTGTAAGCCAAGGAAAATGCTTCAATACAAACTTTTTTAGCTTCTGTTAACTCATATTCGCATCTATATTCCAACTTTTTTTCGTATAGTTTTTGAAAATGATCTTCTAAACCCTTTTCTGGGATATTTCTAAAATACACAAATATTCTATGGTTAACGGATTAGAGATTACTGATCAACTAAATAAAATATGTGTAAAAGACGTTTAGGAAAATCAAGACATTTTTTTTTATAGCATAAGCCGGTAAATGACAGATCACAAAGCAATTGGCTTCGCCCATGGACACCTGGAACACCAAAGGCGTTACAAGTGCGTTACCGGCCTTTTGGTGATTAGGAGTTTCAGGATCGTTGGGGATTCAGGGATTGGGGAGATTGGGGAAGGGGAAGGTAATTGGGCCTCCGGTAACCTCACTCACGCGACGAAACACAACGCAAGCGTTGCTTCACGTCGTTTTTCTGTGAGGCCGTGGTATCACTCCAGTCGAGCCGGCCCATTCGTGCCGAAGCATGGCTATCCCACACTTAAATCGAGACATCGAGAAATCGCAAAGTACCTAAATGAATAAATTCTGTAAGAATATCTAGAAGTTTACTTTAGTAAGACTGAATATTTGAATCGTAGTAATAAGTAGGTAGCTACTTAAATAATCCGTAATACTAACAGATACTTGGTTTCAATCCCTGACGACCGCAATAACGTCTTGAAGAGAAGATCCAAGTTATCATTCTGTTCCTGCTTCCTTGCTACTTCTTCCACGTTCTCGATCTCAAGCTCTATAGGTGCCACTATATCACGCACAGATCTAGAACAAATATACTGATATACTTATTGCAAATATATCTTATGCGTTTAATTATCTCGGATACTATGGTGGTTTTTAGTCAGTAAGAGTATGACACTCCCTCCCGCCTCACCCAGGCGGGAGCAGACATTCGATGATTTTCCCCCGTTAAAAAAAAACCTATGTGTCTGTGAGCCTCCTCTACGTGACAGGGTTTGTCAATATATCCACGCTTGGAGATCATTGCAGGTGCAGGTAAGTACCTATGGCAGAAAGCGCTTCTGTCCAATCTCTGTCAAATACATGGTCCCCTAGTCCGCGGGAAGTCATACCGTTACCTTGATCTAGTAAGTTTTATTAAATAAATTTGAAAACAATGAACTCTACAAAGTACAAAAAGTTATTTAAATTATGTAGGTACAGATTATGTGTTAAATTATGTGTCGAAGATTTATCATTAATCTAGTACACAGATATAGAAGAAATAAGTCAGCTTCCCTATTATAGTGAATGCACCCATAGGCTCGCTTCAATTAGTTCGGATAAGTAGAGGTATTGAAATATTCGTGTGGGTCGCCCGAATGTCAGCTGTTAGTGGCTATTGTAAAAAAAAGGTTCGCCATCTATTGTAAATTGGGTGCTGTGCGCCCACATCTGCTTAGATACCCTTGTAGAAAAATACAAAATGGTGCCCATATATCTGTGTTATTTTAAGTTCCGGTGATAAGTCCCTATTTTTGTCCCTTTTGCTCCTTGGTGCCGGAGTAAGTTGTTTGGTATTTCTATCCCTTTTTGCCCTGACTAACTCGCTTGATGATTCAAATTTGGTTTTGTTTGTAGATAGTAGTTAAAAACTCATTTATTAATAGGTACATACCTAATATACATTGTTACTAGGCGGAAAATGACGAACAAGAACATAAGTAGGAATGCTATTTCACGTAAGTGGAAGGTATAAACTAGACAACTATTTAGTAAAAATCAATTAAACTGTCTAGCAAAAAGTTCTACTTTTTTTTTTTTTTTTTTTTTTCTTCTTTGGCAACTGAGTCTCCAAAACGGAGTTGTCGACTATACTGCCAGTGTCGAGTGGTGACGGCAAAATTAATGAACCGTCGAACTTAACTTTGCGGTAGTTTTTAGTGGTTAGTAGCTGAAATGACAAAACAATCGGGTTAGTAAACATAGACATTATCAACTATTTTATTGTATATATACAGTGGTGTAAAAAATAGTTGAGGGACATACACAACACAGACAGATATAAATATATGTACATCATTTACAACATTGAACACCGTCATATTTTAATTTCATTTTCATTTATAAATTTACATAAACAATTAATTAATTTGTGGGAAAAGTGGGTTAAAAGCAGGTGGAAACTGATTGGGAGAGGGATTTGGATTCTGGGAAGTTTTTTATAGAGGTCAAAGGATTGGGAATTTAAGGGACACGAAAAAAGATGTGATCTAAAGTACCCTCATCAAGGCCGCATTCGCACAGCGAGCTGTCGCGGACGCGGATCTTGCTGAGGAAGACCGGACTACTGCAATGGCCGAGTCTGAGCCTGCACAAGGATGAAACAGTATGACGGGGAAGCTTGGGGTACTTGGAAAACCAAGGCTTCCGTCGGATGCCGGGCTGGACAGCTGCATAGTAGGCTCCTTTGTGTTGTGACGTTTCTACCCACACTGCATTCCATGAGTCAAACAGCTTGTGCTTTGTGTCTGCACGCATATCATATCCGTACACAACGTGGTGCTGACGATCGACATCGTTCGAGGCCGCAAATTTGGCCAATGAATCCGCACACTCGTTACCACATATGCCAGAGTGGCCAGGAATCCAAGCGATCTCGATGTTTATGCCATCCTTGTAACAAGAGAAAAGAAGCGCCTTTATCTCTACAACCAAACTGCTATGAGTTCGGGAATGGAGCTGGTCTTGGTTGAGAGACTGTAGGCTACTTCGGGAGTCTGAAAAAATAACAGAGTTTTTTAGGTTGTGTGCTCTAATAAACTTTACTGATTCTAAAATGCCAACGCATTCTCCCGTGTAGACAGATGCTTCCGGGGGACACTTAGAGAGGAGGGCGATCTTCGAATTTTGGAAGTACGCTGCCACTCCTGTACTTCCGTTTCGAGATAGTTTAGACGCATCTGTGTAAAAAATATTCCAGCCTCTCCAGTATTTGCTCAAGGCGCGTCCGAACTCGCCCGTAGCATCCACGGAGGATTTCGAGATGCCGAGCCCCAGAATCAGCTTTGGCCTGAAGTGGATAGCCTCATATGCGGAAGAGAAGACCGGGAGTACAGGATATTGCCTGATGGGTGCAGAGAGGTTTTTAAGCTCCCTGTACCTGACAATCACGGGAGGGACAGGTTTATTGTTCCAGTAGGAAGAGGAGCTATAGGAACAGTGGATTTGTTCTAGGATAGGAAGAAGGGGATGTGATGAGAGGGAGAGGACTTTTGAGATGAATCGGTCTGCAAGGTATTGTCTTCGAAGGTTGAGGGGAGGCTCTACACATTCAACCTGAAGAGCATTTATGGGGGATGATTTCATAGCTCCGATAATTATTCTAAGGCATTTGGCCTGAATGGAGTCTAGTTTTTTTAATGCACCCTTATTGCAAGGAACAATAAGGAAGCAACAATAGTCCATTACGCTTCTGACCAATGCATTGTAGATGAGCTTCAATGAGTAGGGGTGAGCACCCCACCATACCCCGGCCAGAGCTCTGAGTATCGATACCGAGCGTTCACACCTTGCAACCACGGTGTTTATGTGATCTGCCCCAGACATCCTTGCATCGAGATAAACCCCCAAGAATCTAGCACTGCTTTTGATCGGGATATCCTGACCGTCTATCTCTATACGAAGATCCGGAGTGCGTCGTTTGCGTGTAAAAATGACAGCTGAGCTTTTTGGGGCGCTTAAAGATAACCCGTGATTAAGAAGCCATTGGTTTAATGAGGCCAAAGAGACATTGATGGAGTGGGCAGCGTCTGTTATAGAGCTATTGGTAACCATTAGTGCGATATCGTCAGCATACTGAAGGACATTACAGTTGAAATTTAAACAGGAGGGGAGGTCATAGGTATAAATATTGTAAAGGATGGGACTAAGGACTGACCCCTGAGGTAAACCTTTCCAGGAGGACCTCCGTACTGGGTTATCCTCAGGAGATCTTAATTGGAGGGTACGATCGGAAAGGATGCAGGCTATAATTCGGCAGATCCTACGCGGGATTCTCAGCTCTTGCAGTTTCTGCCTGAGAAGGGGTAAGAGAACAGAATCATAGGCCGCTGAGATGTCCAAGAAGACCGCGACCAACGACTCCCGTCTGCTAAGGGCCAGTCGGATGGCTGACGTGAGGGTACCCACACTGTCAGCCGTACCCAGACCTTTCCTGAAGCCGAACTGAGTCGCCGGAAGCAGCCTCTGGCTTTCTACCAACCACTCAAGGCGGTTTTTGATAAGATGTTCAAATGTTTTAATAAGTATGGACGATAGGGCAATAGGTCTGTACGACGAATGGTCACCAGGATCCTTGCCAGCTTTTAACAGCGGCATAATAACCTGAACCTTCCAGGTAGGAGGAATATAGCCTGAAATAAAGCAAAAATTGACTAAGTCAAGGTAGTACTGCTTCGCTTTAGTTCCTGCCTTAGTTAGGAAGGAGTAGGGGAACCCATCAATCCCTGGTGCCGAGTCCTTCACATGGTTGAGTACCGTTTGGAGCTCTTCAGATGAGAACTCCAAATCGAGCGGGTCATGAGACTCGGGTCGCTCGGTCTCATGGGATCTCAGGCAGCATTCATCTGCGGTGGGAACATAGGTTGGAGCAATATTGCTAAAAAAACTGTTAACCAGAGATTCGGGTAAGGTGGAGACAGTGGGAGGTTTGGTGGAGTTTCTAAAATTTTTGACTCTCTGCCAAACTGTGGATATTGTTGTCGATGGGCTCAGAGAACCACAAAATCTCCGCCACCCTTGTCTCTTTTTTTTCCTGAACAATTTCCTTGACTTAGCCAAAATTCGCTTGAAATTTATGAGGTTTTCCAGGTTCATATCTTGGTTATATGTTTTTTCAGCCTCATTCCTAGCCCTTATCATGGCAGTGCATTCACTATCCCACCATGGAGGAGAAGGTATTTTGCCTTTCGGTGCGTTTTTCACCGGAAAGCAATCTTCGGCTGTGGAGGCTATCAGGTCTGAAAATTTGGAGAAACACTCCAAAGAATTTTCGTTGTTAATTGGTGGAAGGAAAGAAGTGCGGTGGTCTAATAATTTTGAGTAAAGATCCCAGTCTGCAGAATCTAAACGATATTTTAATAAGGGGGGAAGGGGTTTATCCGGAATGGATTTTGACGAGTGTTTAATTAAGATGGGATAGTGGTCACTACCATAGGTCAAATTTAAACAACTCCAATTTAGCACGCTAGCCATATCAGGCGAGCAGAAGGTCAAGTCCACACAGCTGTTTCTTTGACCAAAAGCAGACCTACGAGTAGGGCTGCCATCATTAATGACACACAACTCGAGTTCATCCAGCATCTCAACTAGCTCATTACCCATATTATCACATACATCTGAACCCCATCTATAGTGGTGGCAGTTGAAGTCACCCATTACAAGTAATGGGCCACTTACCGAGGTTAATAAATTTTTAATCAAAATAAGCTGGTCAACATGAGGGTGAGCAATGTAAAATACAAATATGTTTATGTCCTCAGCCTTAACAGCGACAACATTTATGTCATCGCCAACGAAGGGTAGAGGAATCTGGGAGAAGGGTACTTTGTTATTAACTAACAAAGCACAACCTCCATAACCATCAGATCTGTCATGTCTGACAACACTGAAACACGGGATCCCGAAATTTATATTCGGTCGAAGCCATGTCTCAGCAATGCCACAAATCAATGGTTTAAATTTATTGATCAAGTGGAGTAAGTCACTCTTCCTGGGAAGAGTACTCCTCACGTTCCACTGAAGCAGTGTTAGAGGCAGGA